TTCTTCGATGTCTCATGGCGGCTGCGAACTCTCGATCTATTTCGGAGTTTGGTCTCAGGATTCTCTCTGGCGGGGACGATACGACTACATTGGGCGAGATGGGCCAGGTGCTTGAACCCATGCGCGACCGTCGCAGTATGGGACTCCAAACAGGCTCATTGAGATCCTGTCAGGGGCTTCGCGTCAGTGGCGTTTGGAGTTTAGGGGTTTGGGGTTTGGGGTTTAAGGTTTGAGGTTATGAATATAGGGGCCTTAATAACCACCTGCACTATTTTTTGGTGGGATTCCTTACTCTAACTATAGTATAATATACCTAATACCCTAGTTCCAGCAACAGCATCTGCTGCGGTTAGACCGCTCCTGGACATTGGTCCGGCCATTCGTGCCACTCCGAGCTCTGGGAGCTGGATTTTAGAGAAATGGTTCGGTAGGGATGTTAAAGCTTTAAGGATTCTATGAGTGCCTTCATATGCACGTCCTATCAGGCTTCTAGAAACCCTAAACTCTAAACCCTAAACCGCCTAAGCCCTAAACTCTAAACCGTGGCTCTGGGCAGCTTCAATCAGTCTTCCAGAAGTTTCTGGAGGGTTCTGTCATACTTAGGGTTTAGGGTTTAGGGTTTCTGAAGGGTTCTATGAAACTTAGGGTTTAGGGTGTAGGGTTCTATGATACCCTATACCCTAAACCCCTATATAAACCCGCAGCCGTAGTTTTTGTCAGGCTTCTTTACAGGGTTTATAAGGGTCTTACCGGGCTTACATTGGGGTTCCATGGGTTGTCTAAAGGGTTCGTCACCGGAGCGGTTTTGCACACAAAGGTCCTAGGGATTTCGGAAGGCTCTATAAGGGCCTCCATTATTGACTATTGGGTTTCTACAAGGGGTTTGGGTCTTAGTGAATTAAGCCTAAACCCTAAACCCTAATCACTAAACCCTTAACCCTCAACCCTAAACCCTAAACCCTCAACCCTCAACCCTCAACCCTCAGCCCTCAACCCTCAACCCTCAGCCCTAAACCCTAAACCCTGAACCCTCAACCCTCAACCCTGAACCCTGAGCCCCAAACCCTGAAGTCTGCAGAAACGGAGTTGGTCCCTAAACCCTAAACCCTAAACCCTAAACCCTAAACCCTAAACCCTTCGTGTTCAGGCCGATGCTGATTTTGCCAAGCACCTGCAAGACGAAGCGGAGACGGCCCGCGGGGTAATGTAGGGGTTGGAATGTTTTGCACTAAGATCCACTTTGGGTTTCGGGTTTAGGGTTTAGGGTTTAGGGTTTAGGGTTTAGGGAAGCTGTTGTGCTTTTGGGGTTTAGGGTTTAGGGTTTTACTGGATTGGCACTCCGGGCTCAGAGCCCTCAGTAATCAGAGGGTGGGACTTTCTTGACCAACTTGGAGGCCCAGGGGACTTAGTAAGTCGGTTATAAGTAGGGTTATAATTGGGGTAACTATAGTTAGGGTACTTATAACTCTACTTACCCTATACCCTAAACCCTAAACCCTAAACCCTAAACCCTAAACCCTAAACCCTAAACCCTAAACCCTAAACCTACTTACTAAGTCCCCTGGGCCTCCAAGAAGTCATAGAGGGACTCTATGGCTCTATGTAGTCTAAGCGCATCAGACGTGTAAGGAGGGGGACGGGGGAGATATTAGCATCCTAATTCTTAACTTCTACCTTAACATTCCAAAACCCTATCAATTCCTTCTTCGGGTTATCATAAGAGCTTACATTGGATAAGCCCTAAACCCTAAACCCTAAACCTAGTACGGTAGCTCAAAGTGCATGTCCTTCATGAACACGGGGGGGGGGGGGTCAAGGACCGGCTCGTGGCTTAAGGTTTAGGACTCAGGGTTTAGGGTTTACGGCTTAAGGTTTAGGGTGGACGGTTTAAGCTTTAGGGTTCCGGGTTTAGAGATTGCGGCTTATGTATGGTTTAGGATTTAGGGCTGGAATCCAGCACGCTGGAGCTGCCGCAAGGCTTGGAAGAGGTCGCACAGACCATGCAGACGGTTCCCAAGTGCTTCAGCAATCCGTTCAAAAGATCCTTGCAGGGCAGAAGCTCCTGCGTTCAGCCGACGCAACCAGAGGTGTTGTCGACAGCTTGAAGGCCAGCAAGAATTTTGCCCTTTGCTATTTGGAGAAGGTGATTCTATGCTGCGAGATGGCAAATGGGAGTTTCCGAAAATAGGGGTACCTTATTCTGCGGGTCCTTATAATGAGGGTCCTATTATTTAGGGTACTATAGAAGGGTCCCCTATTTTCGGAAACCCCCACATGTTCTGCGGAGGTCCTACTTCAGGAACCTATGACTGTTGGAATGAGCCCGTAAACCCTAAGCGAACTTGAAGCTGAATCCTAAACCCTAAACCCCGAACCCTAAACCCTCAAGCCCAGGATAAATAGAAATTGTTTGATACCTTATGCCTTGTTTTGAGCAGTCTTTAGAGGTGGCCGCAAGAGTTTAAGTAAATTGAACTGATAAGCCCGAATTCCAGACGGGTTCAAGTAAATTGAAGTGCAGAGCACCCGGAAAGGATTGGCTGAACAAATGGCTTGAAAAGCAAGCAAAAGGAAAAACCCGGTCAAAACCCGGTCAAAACCGCACAAAACCCGCCCAAAACCGCCCAAAACTCAGGACCTGAACCCTAAACAATTTCTATAAACCCTAAACCCTAAACCCTAAACCAAGCAAAATTGTACAAAAAACGAAAGGAAAAACCCTGTCAAAACCCGGTCAAAAACGCACAAAACCCGCCCAAAACCGCCCAAAACTCAGGACCTGAACCCTAAACAATTTCTGCAGAGGGAAAAACCCAGTCAAAACCGCACACAAATTGATTGAAAAGCATGCAAAATTGAGCAAAAGCAAAAGGAAAAACCCGCACAAAACCGCACAAAACTCAGGACCTGAACCCTAAACAATTTCTATGAACTCTAAACCCTAAACCCTGACCCGTAAACCCCGAACCCTAAACCCTGAACTCTAAACCCTAAACCCTGAACCCTAAACCCCGAACCCTAAACCCTGCACTCTAAACCCTAAACCCTGAACCCTAAACCCTAAACCCTAAACCCTAAACCCTAACCCACTGAAGCGGGAATCTCCACAGCTCATGGACTCCTCGCGCTCATCTCTTCGCCCCACGTTGTGGCCAAGGGCTGCGC